GAAAAAATGCAGCAAAAGTGCTCTCAATAACACATATTGACAAGCGTAAAACAATTAAAAATTAAAAATAAAAAGCCTAAAAACACTGATGCTGAGGTGTGAACGGAGCCTCAGAAGCCTCAGAAAGAGAAAAAGAAAAGGTGTGTGCAACATGAATTATGAATTTGGTTGTTATTAAAACCAGCAAGTTGTACTGTTACTAATGCTAATGTTTCATGTAATAAGGATGATTGTGATACAAGCATGGCCATTGTGGTTTTCTAGAATATTGTGCTACAAGAGAACATAATGGAGTGTAAGTGGTAGGAAATTAGACCTGACTTTTAAGTGGGATATATAGACCATGTTAGAAAATAATAATAATAATGATATATATTTTTTATATGTATTGCATACCTTGTGTTCATTTGCACTGTTTCTTTGGGAAGCGTACTGTTTTGGGTTTTTCCTTTTTTAGGAAAGTTGTTGAACTACCGTAAGTACCAATAAGTCATATGAGGACATGGGGCAGATGGTAACATTTGATTGTGTATTGTGGTGTGCTGATTTTTAAACTATATGTATTAATACACAGCATACATAGTTTACAGTTTTTTTTTTAGTTTTCCCTGGAAATAATGTACCTAGAATATTCCTGGTCTACAAAACTGACCATTTGTACCATGAAGACCAGTGTGTTAACCCCTTCGTGACTGACGACGTACAGTGTACGTCGCCAGCATCGGGGCTGTTTAAACAGACTCCCGGCGATACAGAACTCTCTATGTGCTTTGGGTGCAGTCCAAGCTGTGCTAAAGCATGCCTGAAGCAGAAAGGTGTGAATAAGTTCTTATGCAGAACTATCAACAAGTACCTCACAGAATACTTGTCAGACCTGCCAGGCGGATAGAAGATGTTTGGTCTATTTAGCCAGTACCTCTGTGCTGGCAACCTGGTGAGGCCTTCCAAGATGCAACCTAAAGTGACACTAAACCAGTGGTTCTCAACCTTTCTAGTGCCGCGACCCTTTAATAACAAAGTCCAAGTTGTGGCGACCCCTAACAGTAACATTATTTTCGTTGCTCCTCCATCGCTGTAAAGTAAACCTTTCCCTGCTCTGGTATTTTTTTTTCTGACATCGGAGCCGCCGGCCGCCGTCAGTCAGAAAAAAAAACAGCATGGGAATGCATAGCTAGATTCCTATTGGCTATTTCAATTTGCAATATCCATTAGCAAGCTGGCTTTTGCACCCGCCCTCTGCTGCTGTCAATCACTAGAAGAGGACCCGATGGAGAACTTCAGGTCCCCTTCTGCTGATTGACAGAAGCAGACGGCGGGTGCAATAGCTAGTTTGCTATTGCAAAGTGAAATAGCCAATAGCAATCTAGCTTGCATTCCTATGCTTTTTTTTCTTCTTTTTTTCTGACTGATGGCGTGGGCGGGTTCGATGTCAGGAAAAAAAAAACCAGAGCAGGGAAAGGGTGGCCGGGAGCCGCTATCTAATAGAGGGAGACTCCCGGAGCGTCCGGGAGAGTTGGGATATCTTTAGGCGACCCCTGGAAAATCGTAATTCGTCCCCCGACGGGGTCGCGACCCACAGGTTGAGAACCGCTGCACTAAACTCAGGAGTTAAATCTTAAAAATGCATTTAAGTACCTTACATATTAACAAAAAAAAATTCTTATTTGTGTATCCCTTGACTGTAGATCCTGAAATCATCTCTGCATTGGTGCTGACACTGTCCTTCCTTCTGGAGGGTGGCGACTTTTGTTCCCCATGGCCCCCATGTGTGTTGTAATGTAGCCACCGCTCCAAGCTAGCTCCTGTGATGGACTACACCTGTGCCGCCCTAACAGGGGCATAGAATATGAGATGCATAGCCTCAGTTAATATTAGCATTGTTATATAGGTTAGAATTTATATAGTGTGATTTGCCTAACTATTTTCTCATAGCTAAATTCATGTCTTATCCTATGCTGCCATCTAGTGGCCTTTTGTTGTAACAAACATGCTTTCTGTAATTATTCCTCATGTGACGATGTATTTCCCCCTAGTGTAGCCCCATCCTTCTTCCTGTGTGCAGTACTTCCTGTGTCATGGCACAGCTACTAGCCACATGTAACAAGGACACACATGTAATCTGCACAGTACGTAGGAAAGGCATCATTTTCTGACCGCACAATACTATAACCGTTCAACTGCTGTTCCTATTATCTGCTGTAACCCTGATGTTAAAGAATAAACACCTCTTTTGAATGAATCGGTATTGACGAGTTCAGCTATCTGACGAGGATTGTCCGCAGTGAGTATATCTGCTTATACAGGCCAGGCAT